CAAGATTTTCAAGTTTTCAGAGATCTATCGATCTACACTGTTTTTGAAGCTTTAAACTTTATAAATAAAGATGAAAATAAATTTTAAGGCTATTACAAATATTTTTAGTATTGAAACCACATTTCTCGACACTATTTGAAGGTAGGCTCTAATTTGATTGTTTAGAGCCTAGGCTCTATGCAAACCGCACCCTAACATCAAACGACCAAAACTACCTCATTTAAGTTAAAATAGTATAAAAATACCCTATAAGTCCCTTCACTTAATTTTTTTTTTTTGTAATGGTACTTGTGCCCCAAATAAAATAAGTAATTTCATAAGTATTCTGACAACTTTTCTAAACTTCTTCTAAAATCCCAAAAAATAATAAAAAATGTTCTGCTCCTTATAAAGAACTTACAAACCCAAAAAAATAAATCCTAATACTAAAATAAAAAGATATATTTTTTGGAGTTAAACAAATATTAAAAATAAGATTAATCTTGCCCCTCTATCATCCTCCCCTGATTGGAGAAAATGCACCATCGACTCTTGAAATGTGCTAAGATTAAATTTGCATTATTATCGCAACCTCCATCAACTCGAATATTTTAAACACGATACTGGGACTTGTAGGTTATTGTATTAATCAAAAGCACAAAAATTGTGCACGGAAAAACTGAGTCTTTGCAGTTAATTGATATATCCATAAACACTTTTGAAAAACCCTCAAAGAAAGTGTCACTCTATATCAAGAAAGTATGTTCAGCTACATGAACTTGTTGAAATTGTATCAATTCAGCCGGATATAACCTTATTGAGATTACCTTAGTTCAAAACTAGAATAGACCCATGGAAATATTCATGGTGGTTATCTTCAACCCCTAATTCACTATTCAAATAAGCAACTTCCTCTTCCAAAACTTCATCATCTTCATCTTGACCATCATCACCTTCTTCATCATCTTCATCTTGACCATCGTCACCTTCCTTATTTTCACCTGATTCTTGATAAAAAATTGGATCACTACCTTCTTCATCGAAACACTCATCAAAGATAGGTGGAGAGTCCCAACCAATGACTCGCTAATTTTGGAAGTAAATTGATGAGAAATTCTTCAAGTTTAACCATTGCGCCTCATCTACTGCTTGTGGTGTAATCATGATGCGTCGGATCAGCAATGCCTCTGCATGATCACTTCCAAATTCTGTTCATCAACTGGCTCATCATATATGGTCAAATGAATACTTGGTGTCTTCAACTTAAAACTCATTAGAAAGGTTAATGAACTTGCCATTTGGAACGATGGAACAATTGTGCGATCCCCAAACACTTGTAGCACTAATGTATCTAATGGCACCCCTTTCGGAACGCCCAACTCCCAAAACAACCCTTATTTGGTCTAGGGCATCTTGCTGGTTGTTCGTTCCAACAGTGCGAGATGTTGAACCAACATCCATTATGCGGCCATTTCTTCCAAAATCCCACAACGGGGTGTTGCCCTTTTCCCCCATCACTTGCACCCACTCCCCACCTATTTGAGGGTCGTTTCTACTGAATTTCAACCATCTTTACAAGGTTATAGACCTCATCAAGTGTTCAATATTGTTGCAAAACTACCACATCTTCAATTTATTGGTGCAACCCATTCACATACCTGGCAATCGACTACTCCTCCCGCTCTATCACATCACTATGGGTAATCAAAAGGTGAAACTCATCTACGTATTCATTCACTAACCTATCTCCTTGATGCAACACATGCATCTTTTGATATAAAGACCGTAAATAATTTTCACGTAGGTACTTTTCCTTTAACTTTTTTTCATTTTCTCCTAAATATTTATCTTGGGCTTTCCAATTCTCTCTTGCCTTGCTCTCAGTTGTTCTGACCATACCAAAGCACCTTTCTTCAATTTAATTGCAATAATCTTCATTTTTTTTATTCTATGGTATTTAACTCGTCCATAAAGTCATCATACTATGAATTTCACTCAAAATTAGGAATATCTACTTTTAGATCTATGGATTTTGAGAGCCGCTCATACCTCTGATCATATGCCTCTTCACTCGACTCATTCCATGGAGGATGATACTGAAAATGGTTGTACTCAACATCATCTTGGATGGACAAAACTTCATCTCGCTCAATATAGATGCCTACAAGATGTCATGTAAGTTCTTGAACTTGTTGTCTTAGATACTCTATCTCTTGATCCTGCTCATCACGAGGTGAATCCATATGAATACCTTTTGCCTTTGCTTATTCTTACTGCCATGGGTTCACTGAAATCACAAACCCCAAGCAGATAACCAATAACACCTCGCTAAAACTAAAAAATTCTAAGTTGATACAACAAAACTTGGCTTAAAATAAGCAAACCCTAAACTTATTGTAGATTTTTAGGTTTGTTGTTCAAGAAAACCTAGGCCTTAATACCAATTTGATGCATGAAGATAAAGAAAAGAGCAAAAAATAGTTCAATAACCATAAAAACATGTCAGATTTGAGTAGATCTGGTTTCTTGCACAAAGTTCAAAAAGCACTCTAACGACTTTTCTAACCATCTTCTTGAATCCTAAAAAATATATAAAAAATCTAGACTCCCTAAAAAGAACTTAAAAACCATAAAAAGTAAAAGAGACATCCTTTGAAATTAAGTAAATATTAAAAATAAGATTAATTTTGCCCTCCATCAAGGAAGGATTTAAAAATTTGAGTTTTTAAAGAGAGATAGAGAAAGAGAAGAAAAAAAAGGATGAAAAAGAAAATGTGTTTGTTTATAAAAAGGGGCAAAACAATACATTTGCTTCTCTGTGAAAGTAGGAGAGCCAAAGTAAAAAATGAACTATCAAGAAGTCCAATTTCTTAAAAAAGAAAATCTAATAAGGTCTTCTTTAAATAAATAAATAAAAAGGGGAAATTTTATATAGAGCCTAGGCTCTAAACAATCAAATTAGAGCCTACCTCAAAAATTTCACCAGAAGAGGTTGTTTTGATGCTCAAATATCATCAAATTGATCATTTCGACATCAAGATGCATGGACATAAGAAAAAAATGGATTTCAAATTTTAGAAATAGTGCATCTTATAACGCATTTTTTTACCGCCAATTTTCAAGATTTTAAGTTTTCATAGATCCGCTCAATCTACACTATTTTTGAAGTTTATAATTAAAAAAGAAAAAATATATTTTAAGGATATTACAAAAATTTACAGTATTAAAATCATATTTCTCGACACTATTTGAAAGTGGGCTCTAATTTAATTGTTTAGAACCCTATACAAACCCCACCCAAAGACTTTAAAAAAAAAGGCCCTAATTTTTAATAGAGACATCTAGCGTTCATAACCCCTTAACGCATTCGCAGACTTCATATTTCCCCATCGTAAGATATAATATATAACAACATACACTAACATTCACAAAACATTCAGCACACCTCATAGGGTATAGGTGACCTCACTTTAACAAAAACGGTATATGATCAAACCCCTTTGGGGCATTAAAGATTTTGGTGTTTAAATAACTTAAAGAAAATGTGAAATAACTTAAAATATATTAGAAAAAGTATACGATGCCTATTTATCTTTAATACAAAGTAATCACAATTAATCTTAACTATTGGATGTGAAATTTAATGGCTGCATTTATTTCATTGACTAAGCTCAAACTTCAAAGGAAAATTTTGCGAGCTTTGTGACACACTCAAGCTATCGGATTTCACATCGAATGATTGTACATAATTGTGACCACCTTGTATAAAAAGTAAATGGAGTAATTGTATACAATTCTATATACTTATACTCTATATTTGGGCTGGATGGAGTTGGAACCCATAACCTCATCACCATCGTAGTCTACTGCTGAGGGTGGAAAAACATATAAAAATATATATAATTTTTAATTTTCAAATAAAAAATTCCATGTTTATAATCTGACCATAACGGACTAAATTAATAAATCCTTAAGATCATTTCCGAAGGGGCCGCACATCCATATGTGAGTCGGCTAACTGGCGAAACACTTTTCCTTCCCCAAAAAGTGATACTATACCCAATATTTGGGTTGGGTCAAGTTAAACCATGGAAGGACCACTCGACCTCTTGGGCACTTAGCATTTTAATGGATAAACATAGCCAAAAGATATTCTACTCCCGTGGGAGTAGAATGTCCATGTATTCCCTCGGTTAAAACCCTACTTAGAATTTTAATGTTAGGGCCCCAAATTTTGGGATGTAATATCTTCAACCCATAGATTAACCTCAATTAAAAGAAATTACAAATTGTACCCTCTATCCACTTGAAAAAAAATAATGGCTTAAGATTGAATAGAGACAATAGGTGAGATCTACATGTACAAAAACTCAAAATTCAAGTTCTTTTTTTTTTTTTAGAATAGTCATCTAGTAATTTTTAAGTGATTTCCAACATTTCAGATTAAAAATATCCTCCCAAATCAGTCTTAAGACCGAGGGAGTCGAAGTAAACTACGCCCAATGGAGCATAGTATCAATAAAAAGTGTCCATACAGCACTAAAAGCCAACATCACATACTGGGGCTGTCTGTTCATGGAATAGCAACTAAAGTCTAAACCCTTTACGAATATTCACATATCACAAGCTAGTCCAAAGTGAAAAAAAACAAAAAACGAAAGGAAAACAGTGAACAAAAAAAGTCACATTCATCTATAACCATCCAATGTGAAATCTACAAAAAAAGTCACATCCATCTATAACCATCCAATGTGAAATCTGACAACTTGAATTAAGTTTACAAATATTTCTTTTGATCTTTGAGCTTAAACAATGGAATAAATACAGCCACTTAATTTTACATCCAAAGGTTAAGATCAATTATGATTTTTATGTACCAAATATAAATAATCTTATTATATACTTTTCCTTTTTAAGGATTCGATTGTTATCCACCTGTCCTATAGGTCTATACCTTTCAAATATGGGGGGCAAAAAGTATCAATAATCCACGTAGAGTAGAGCAATCTCATGGTCCTTGGTCACTGTAAATCTTTTTGAATAATCAAAAAGCTTTTCTACTTGCATAGAGTATCATCGGCGTTGCTCCAGAAATTTAAAAAAAACATTGCAGTCCCTTTTGCAACAAGCAGGCTGACTACACAATTAAGGAGAGAAATGGCAGGTTAACCACAGTTATTTCAGACCAAGAATTTGGAATGAACATTGTCCTTCATGAAAACAAAAAGGTGGATTATGGTACACAGGGATTTACCCTCTTGTTGACAAACTACAGACAGTCTCATGCAGGAAGATAGGATGGTGCAGGACTGGGAAAAAAGACTTGAATCAAAAGCGAAAATTGATGGAGAAAAGGAAGACCTCCAACCGGGTTCTGTACAAAGTATTTATATACATGCATTTCACTATACAAATTTCATCCTTGTCAACACAGTGTATCACATTGTGCGCCTCCACAACTGACTGCATTGCATTGTAAGCCTCTTTCTCAAGCTCCTTAGAACCACTTGAAAGACGCAACCTTCTTGCTTGGAACCACCAAGGTTCCCTGCTAGTTATTGCTTTTTTCTTCTTTCCCTCTCCTTGGCACCACCTACAGGATTCCAACTACTTCCTAGCCCCTCTTTCTTTTTTGAAGCAATGATTCTCTTTATCGAGAAACCCCATCTCAATACAGCAATCAGTATTGTCCACTGTCTTCCCAAATGACTATGGGCCTCAGACCTAGACCGAGCTGACATAGCCAGGTAATCACTGACAGCACATTCCAGGTCTGCTCCCGATTCTACCATTTCAAGGCTCTCAGAGTGCAAGGCTTCAATATTAGAGTCAAAATACAGTAAATGATCATCATCAGCACATGAGGCCTGATCCTCGCATTTTTTCTCAAACCTCTTAGGGTCAGTAATCCTGCACAATTCTCCAGGGTCTCCATAAGAGCGTGAGCTCAGACGCCTCTCTGGTTCTGCACAATTAGAAGACCCATGTACATTGATGTCATTAAGGAGACCTGCTCCCACAGAAAAATCATCAAGGCTCCTCTGAGCATCAAAGGTTAAGACCGATGATATTCGATCAGGGAATGATATATTATTCTGGTTGGTGAAACCCATTCCACCAAATTTGTTACAGTTTTCATGGGGAATATCTAGTGCTTGTGACTCCAGAGAATACAATGAGGAAGAACAATCTAGCATGGCCAAACTGTCATAGGGTACCACTTGGTTCCAGTTCTCATAGGCAGCTTTCGCCAGATTGCACACTAGGGTCTGTCACAGCCACAAAACATATATGTTACAAAGTAGTATAGCATAGGGGAGAGAGAGAGAGAGAGGGAGGGGGAGGGAGGGAGGGAGGAGTGGAGGAGAGAGAGAGAGGAGGGAGGAGGAGGAGG